CACACACACACACACACACACACACACACACACACACACACACACACACACACACACACACACACACACACCCTTTTTAACCCTGACTGAAGAACTAAGCATTAAAATCAACCCAAAGATAAATAATGAAAATTCTCCAGCTATAAACTGCAAGCTTTTGATTACTAGTGATATATTCTAGTATTTAAGTTTTGAAATACTGGCTTACTTATTAAAAGGATAATGTCCTTAAAGAATTTTCTAAATTAAGCTTCAGTGAATAAACATATTTCTATACACATGCTTTTATCTCAAGGGGAGTCTCCTTCTGTATCTTATAATTATTACCATTTTTCTCTTTCTCACTTAGGACCAACTTTCAGTCCTCTTCCTTCCTAATATCTGGATTGTCTACTCATAAATTAAAATTCACATAAAAAGATTTTGAAGATAAGAAGTGGTCCAACTTGTTTTAAATTATCATTTTAAATCTGTGAAACAAGGAATAACTATGTAAGATAAAGATGTTAAAGAATGTAAATCTCGTAAGAAAAATAAATTAAAACAAATAGAAATCCTAACTAAGGGCTGACCAGTTAGTTCAGCTGGTTACAGTGTGGCCTTATAACACCAGGGTCGAAGGTTCAGTTCCCCATACCGACCAGCTGCCCACCCCCACACAGAAGAAGAAATCCTAACCAAAAATCTTATTTATATTAATGAAAATTTATTTAAAAATACATTAGATAAAATCAGGCTTTACCCTAAATTGAGGTAAATGATTTGTCAAAAACACAGTATTTTAAATTTCACCTTAAAAATTAACTCCATTAATGAACATAAATCAAAAAGAATAAATTTTAATGTAAATTTTAAAAACTAATTTAAAAAATTAAGCCATTTAAAAATAAATCAATATTACAAAGCTATGCTTCTTTAAGTAAATGGCAGATGTGTCATTTTGGTAAGAAATTTGTTACAATATAACACTTATTGTATTTAGAATATATTTCCACAATAATAAGATAAGTTAATTGCCCTTTAACCATCCATTAGTAGACTTCAGAATCAAGCTACTAAAATGAACAGAAGTGTGAGCAACTTCTTTTCTAATAATATTTATATAGTCTCAAAAGAATGACTTATTGGAAAATTCAAACAGTAAAATTTTGAAGATTCAACTTCAGTCTGGTTATTTTGGGCTATTCCACCAGAAAATTAGTTAGGTTAGAAATAAATTCTTAAATTTAGTACAACACAAAATGTGGTTTTAGTTTCTATTTTTTTCAAAACATATATCAGAAAATAAATATTTAACATGTAGATATAGAAATATTTGTTGAAATCCTGTAAATTTCTATGAAGCCCCAGGAGGTCTCATATAAACAACACTGGAATCTTCACATTTACTCTATCTAGACATACCATTATCATTGTGGAGATAAACTGCTCCTTCTACTTATCAAAAGAAAAGGAGCGTATATTTATTAATAATTATCACTGCCATTAAATTTGGATATAGAAGAGCCACTAAAAGTTGAAAGACTTAGGTACTAAGATTGAGTCAAGAATATACATTCCTTTACTTCAGGAGAATCAAGTCTCGTGCTCCATTACCCATTTCTAACTAGACAGAGAATAAATTCTGTTGGTTATCCCTTAATTCAAGAAGGGGTTACAGATAGCAAAACAGAATTAAGTTTGATTTTTGAGAAAAAAAAAATTCACTCAAATGTAGTCAATCCATTGAGATTAAATTCTAGTAATGATATGGAAAGCTGAATTTAGGCAAAAGTGTCAACAATGTAAATTGCAAGCATTAGTCTGCTTATTAAAGACCAATCAATGCCCTGTGTTACCATTAACAAGAAGATTAAAATTCCAAAGATCTCAAATTTTCCTATGTCAAATGGACCTAATGGCTAGGAGCCAAAGACTGATTTTACTTTATAAAATACTTACCACTTACCAAAGCTTCTATTATGTATCACACTATTATCTGATTATAAAATAGTTTATACTGTAAACAACAAATATTTGGGGCAAAAAAATATATATACAGGGCCATAAAATAACTAAAGCAGAATACCCTATTCCTACCACTGTGTACACACTTATCTGTGGCTGTGCTGGCATTTAAAATTTTACAAACTATCCAGTAAGAATGCTAAGAGAAAACAGTTGACAAACCTGAAAGAATAGCTTCTTTCAAATATAGTAACATATGGGAGAACTTCCTGATATCATTCACCAACTCCTTGATGTAATCCGGATCAAAAATGGAGTTGGAACTTACAGACTTGAGCCCCATTTCAGAAGTTGTAACATCAGTAGAAAGTTGGTTTGATGCGCAAATACGTTTTTTCTTTGTCTTTTTCTGTTTGTGAGCAATCATCCTTTTATTTAACAGTCAGAAAAACTGAAATCCTTAAAGAGACAAGAAACAAAACAAAACAAAAAAAAGCGAGAGAGAAACACAATTACTACATCACCAGGAGAACATTATATTAGGCTTCCACAAACAGCCTGCAGCACACTTCAGTACTCTACTTTAAAAATTTTTTAAATAAGTAAAACACTGTATTACTACTAATAGCAGCTTCCATTTATTAAGTGCCCACTTCACAATATGCAAACTATTGTTCTTTTCATTCCATAAGTGAGAAACATGGGGCTTAGAGATTAAAATTTTGTCTAAGCTTTCAATTGATAAATGATGAACTGGCAACTTAAACTTAGATCTGTTTTGATGTCAAAAATTCATGCACATAAAAAAAGTTCAATTACACTTAGGTTTTCCTAAACACACACACACGCACGCACGCACGCACGCACACACACACACACACACACACACACACACACACACCCCACCCCACCCCGGTTCATCAAGTCTCATTAGGAACATTTCTTTGTTAGAAACAAGCTCTAAGGGTGTTCACTAATCTGACATACTTTAGTTGTTGAAAAAATAAATGCATGATTATTGGAACAATATTTTTGGTAATTTCAGGATGATATAGCAAAAAGGCAATTTTTTTTTCTATGAGAGAAATTTAGATTTGAGTCCTGATTCTAATATTTCCTAGATGTGTGACCTGTACAATTTACTTACAGCCTTGTATGAGGATGAAAATGGATCACAAAATTCAAAGACTTTACATTTTAGTTAAAACAGCTAATCCTGACACATAGTTGGAGCTCAAGAAAATCTTAGTTTGTTTCTTCCTCATCCTCATTTTACCTTCTCAGAATTAAAAGTCATAACTTTGTTCATATCTCTTAAAATCAAAAAGAAAATGGCTGGAGGAATTAAATTAGCTCAAGCATCATCACTAAAATGTTTTTCAAATATTTCATCTCGAATATTTGGATACTTTCAAAATGGTAGAATGACTAAGGATTTCTGCGAAATTTATAATAGAAAGTTTTATGTAGTATTTCTCTTTCTAGTCATTTGTAAGATATATTATTGTAGCATTTACTCTTTACCATACCTCACCCAACTCGATAGATTTTTTCCTTCCTCATCCACAGTTCTTTAATCTATCTTTCTGTCTCTGATGCTACCATACCAGTGAATCACCATCACTTCTTTTTCTGAGCTACTCTACTAATTTCCTAATAACCTCTCTGTATCCATTCTTGTTCTATTCCAAATGTAGTGAGTGAACTTTTCAAAAATATCATTATTTCATTTCTCTGCTCAAAACCCTTGCAAAGGACAAGTGAGAAGCTATCATACGCTGTAAGACTTGACATGAGACCTGGCCCCTACCTACCTCTCCAATGACATCTGGAGTCATGACTCCTGGCTCTCAATACTCCTGTCACACACTCCTCCTTCTCAGTCTTCCAACAGTATTTGTTTACCATGACCCACAGCAGGAAATAACTTTACATCATGAGCCACTATATATGTTAAGTATGTTATGTTTATGTGTGGTACGTGTGTAAGAATGCATCTGTGCTTCATAAAACACAGACTCTGGCTGAGGATCCATGTAATGTACTTGGATTTATTTTTTATTTTATCCCATTTCATTTTTTAAAATGCTGCTTGCAACTCACCAAATTGGTTTCCTACATGTAATGAGTCATGACTCTATAGCTTGAAAAACACCAGTTGTTTTTGTCAGCAGTTCCATTTTCCTAGAATACTCCTCCCTCCTCCATTTACTCATTCTGATCCCAGCTTAAAGATCGCTTTCTTGAAAAAACCTTCCTGGATCCCCCCAACTCGATCCCCTTGTAACCACCACCATCACCAAACTAGAGCAGAAATCTCCTGTTAGATGCTCTATAGCATCCTGTACTTTTCATCATTGCACTTATCACAGTTCGAATAGATGGTTCATGTCTTCCCATCTAGACTATAATCTCAAGACCATGTCTGTTTGCTAAATACGCATTCTCTGCTCATAGCATAGTGCTTGACATACTATGAAAGATGAAATACTCAAAACTATTTATAGAATAATGAATTTGCAGAAACAATAATGGGCTTATAAACTCATAAAGTTTCAAGTAATATTTATAGAAACAAAAAGTTAACTGGGTTGTTGCAGTGTTTTGAAGGGAAAATATATATTAGAAAAAATCTCTCTCTAAAATGTTATCTTTCCAAAAAAAAAAAAAAAAAGCATATGAAGCTGAGTGAAGGCAAGATTACATAAAACTAAAATCAAAGTTGTATTTTTATTGTTGTTTCTTCTGATTATTAAACAGTGTGCCCCAACACTTTTCTATTCTAACAGCTGTTAAAGTTTCTTTATTCAATATCCTTTTGTTAATCTCAAATTATTTCTGAGGATGTAATTTCTATACAGACTAGTTTCAAGCCTATCTAACATTAACCCTTAAATGTGTAGATTATTTCTAAAATGAACCAAGGGCAATTTTTGAGCACATTACACCTACATCTCGCTTCCCACCAACCAAAACAAACAAAACAAAAAACTCAAGTGACTTCTTCCGGCAGCTCTTTTACAAATCACTGAGAAGGCTATTAGTCTAACAAACCTTATCACTTCTGTAATTTACTTAATAAAGTCATTCTGTTTCATTCTGACAGCTTTTAAACTCAGTGAATTACAGACTCGGTCATTGTCACTGGTAAAGATGGTTACAAAAATTAAAGACACATATCACAAGTTTCAAATAAAACAATTCCTATATATCAGCAAAAAGAATTTTAGTAACTATGTGTCAAATCAGCAACCCAAAATTGTAAAAAGTGTTTAAAAAATGTTTGAACATTTTTAGGTAAGACTAAGAAAATCTGTAAAAAAACAAATCAAAAACAAAACCACATTGGGGGAAGAGGAACTAAAAAGGATTATACTCTACCCCTGGTCAGCATCACGAAGATTAATGTGCTAATTTTGTTATATATTCTTTACCACTTTTCATACTTTAAACTGCAAAAGGAAACATTACAATAAAAAAAATGTTTAAAATAACAAACAATCCAAGCTTTCATAATTGAACTATGATAATGAGAAAGTTTGGACAATATACACTTTCTAATACCATATACACTATTTTGCCATGTGCCAAAATGAACATTCTCTAGTTGGTGGTAATATAAAATGCAGTTACTAACAAATTGCAACTGGCAATTTAGTTAAATTAGGTAATAATGCATGGAAAGTACTTAACACAGTGCCTGGCTCATCATAAAGACTCAATAACTGTTAACCACTATCACTAGCACTACTTTATTGCCGTAAACTGTTTTTGAACATACTTAAGTAATGAACAAGATGTAGCTTCACTACAATAATGTGTAGATTGTGAGTAAGAAATATAGGACTAGAAACAATTCCAGGAACTTAACTGACTTTGTGGAAACCTACTAAAAGGCTTCCAAGTGAAGTTTGAACTGTACAAACTGTACAGATTGTTGAGCAAAGTATTTGTGAAACTCTAATTCTTGTGCATCTCCTTCGACTTCAAACCATCAACATTAAAAACATGTATTATCCACTCCCCAAAGAATTCTTTAGCAAATAGAAAATCACTGTGCAAAACTACTTTCTCCGTATGTTCTGAATTCTAAGCAATATGTGCATTAGAAATTTAGGCACAAACTTCTTGGTCCCCCCAAACATGGCTTTTCCAAGACTTCAGTAGCCTGTTTCAATCAAATGTCCCAACGCACAGTATAGAAGTATTTTCATTTTAGGCACTGGGCTGTCTAATTGAAATGTAAAACTGTTCCAAATATCTGTACTTGATAGTACCTATCTTACTATTTCTATCTGAGGAAAAATTGTCATAAATTTCAGAAGTCTGCTGTTAGAGCACAATTTCTGATTTCGGTAAGAATCCACCTAAAGATGCTAAAAAAAAAAAAAAAATCAGGAGAATTCATTCGGAAGGCCTCAAATTATATTTTTAGGCTGGCAGATTAGCTCGGTTGGTTAGAGAGTGATGTTATAACACCAAGGTCAAGGGTTCGGATCCCCCTACTGGCCAGCCGCCAAAAAAAAAAATTTTTTTTTAAGAAGGACTCCCCACAAAAACAGAATAGGGATATGTCATAAACAGTTTTACCAGTTATACGCAAACTTTTTCTAAAGGATGATGGGCAGCACACAAACTTCATTTCTGTACAGTTTGGACCGAGCACGCTTAAAGAAGAGGGAGCTGCTCAGCCTCCCACGCCTCCAGAATGTCTAGCATTCCTGGCAGACAGCGCTCTCCTTTAACCAGCCAAAACTACCCAATCCCAAGGAGCACGTTCCCCATCCCAGGATTTAAATGCAAAAGGAAGAAAGGAGCAAGCGAAAAGGACAGATGACGTTGATAGCGATGGACAGAAAGAAGATACAAAATGGACAAGAGTCACGAAGACAGAGAAAGGGAAAGGGGCGCTCAGCTCCCTCCATTAGCAGGTAACATCCTGCCCTCCGAAAAGGCGTAATGCCATTACCCTCTTAGAGAGTTAAAAGAAAAAAACAAAAACCTAAACGTAGAGACACGAGACTCAGCAGTCACTGGGGCTCCACGCTGAAACGTCTGACATGAGCTCAACCCCTCTAAAAAAGTTTTTCTAACGTTTTAATTAAAACCGTCAAACCCCACAATACATCCAACAACAGAACCGGGACAAACCGCTGAGACTGAGGAGGCCTCTAAACGAAACTCCTCTTCTCAACCCAAAAGAGACGAGAACAATGCACCAAGGAAATCCTAAAACGTCTCGGGAATGAGCGCCCACTTGGAGTGAAGACGGCAGTCTGCGAGAGGGCAGGACGGGGATCAGAGGCAAGACCACAGGCTCCGCAGTGGTCAAAAGCACAGACTCCCGAGCAAAAGCGCCTGGGTTTATATCCTGACGCCGCCAATTACTAGTCTGTGCGCTGAGACAGGTTTTTAGCCTCAGTTTCCCCAGGTGAAAGTAAGTTAAATAATCATGGACCTGTCATGAGGATTAAAGGAGTTAAAATGTGCAAAGCTCGTAAAACAGTGCGCGGTCGGTGGTACGCGCTCTGTTCGGGCTTTCACTATGCTCTTCATTATCTGTTTCTGGCCAGCGCCGGCCTCGCTGGGCGCGCCCCTCGCCCCGGTCGGACCCTCCTGAGGACCAGCAGCCCCGAGGGCTCCGGCTCCAGCCCAGCCTGCAGCCGCCTCCGCTCGGGGCCGCCGCGTGGGCCACCCGGATCCCGGACGGCACCCGCGCCCGCCCCACACTCACCGTGGCGCTCCATCCCGCGTCTGCTGTACCGTA